AAGCATGGGGCGTCCTGTGGAAATAAACCTGGTGTCTGTCAAAGAGGCCTGTCTGTCCCCGTTCCCCGGGGAGCTGGCGCCCGCCGAGCCTGCCCCGGGCTGGGCTGGGTTACGCAGCTGCTGCAGGGGCTGCTGCTCCGGGAGTTGGTTTTCTTCCCGCTGACAGGTGAACCGTGCGTGCCGAGGGAGGACTCGGCTCTGCTCTCCAGCGGCAGCAGAGGCAATGGGCCCCTTAGTGCCGTCGGGGTAGAGGAAAGCCTGAGGAAAGAACCAGCCTTCAGAAACAGGCGTTACAATGTACGTTGTAACATGTGGGAGCACCACAGAACTTACCAAAGTTTTAGTCCAAATTTATTTTTTAAAGTGTAATAAATCGTCCAGGTTTCTTTACTTTAAGATAACACAAAGGAGGCCTTGATGAAAATGGGTTAGGTATCCCAGATAGCTGTTGTTTGGCCTTCGTTACCAGTTCCATTTCAAATTGCATCATTACTCATGTGCGATGGGCAAGCAGTTGGTAGTTTGAGACTGCCGGCGTGTCTCTGTCATTCATGATGTGTGCAGCGACTGTCCTGCCAAGGAGCTCCTATCCAAGTGGCATAAGCTGCAGGGCAGAGCCTGTGCACTGAGTTTTAATGCTATTTAAATCTTCTGTGCTTTGTCCCATCGTTCACATGAAGACAGAAGCCTTCTGCAAAGTACGAGGGTTTTTTGCACATAACTGGTTACTTGCAGGCCATGGGTCAAGCCTGCCGCGCTTTGTATCCTGATCTTTGGTTCATGTTTGTGATCCTGTTTTTTCTCATGCAAAACTGGCATCTGGCTGATCTGAGGTTTATGTGACCATTTGTCTTTGGAGTAAGTAACCCAGGGAGGGAAAGACATAGGAATGGATCGAGAGAGGGGTTTGGAGGATCTTGTGCTCCTAAAAAGTGAAGAATTACGATAAGAAGGAGAAGGAGAGACCTGAAAAACCTTTGTGTATTTCATTGTGAGAAAATGGGCTAAACCTTCAACAGCTTTATTTTTTTTTCTACTTGTAAAGAAATATTTTTTTAGGCAAGAAGAAGTAAAAGACACATTTGGAAGCTGAAGGAAACTATTAAAGAGAAAAAAAAAACCCAGAAGCTACTACGTGTATTCACTAGAAAAGAAGTAACAGGAAAGGCAGCAGAAATGCAGTAAGATCAGAGATATAACAGGAAGTGCAAATACCCTGTGTGAAAATGATAAAAATATTAAAGTAGAAACTGTAGAAAGGGAAACAATAAACACTATTTTTAAAAAGTTACTGGTCATTGCATTTAAGTAAGCATAATGGTTAAGTTACTCCTGTGTATAGTTTTGAACAGTCCTGCTTCTTGAGATAGCTAATGAGCTGCTGATAACAGGTGTAGTTTTGTTTAGGGCACGAGAAGTGAGTAAGAGTGCCAGACATTGTAATTACATTATGATAAATCCTCTGACAAGACTCTTACATCGATGAGTATGGTTGCAGATTTGCTGTGTGCATACAAAAGGGAGTAAACAAAACTGCCTAATATTTTCCTCTCAGCTTCGACATGTTGAAGGGTAGTAGTGGTTGTTGCTACCCTAGGGATGTGTTTGGAGTTCTGTCCCCTTTCTGATCTCAGAGTCCAGTCCTGGAGGTAAGTAGTGTACTGCTTGTAGGTGTCTGGCTGAAATGTTGTTCTCTTATCCCTAGAGCACAGGATCTGGCAGCAGGGTCCTGTGTGTGCTAACTGCTTTTCAGGCCAGAGCATGTGGAAACTGCTTTCCCCATGTTATTTAACCCAACTTCTTAGAAATCCAATATATAAATTACGTAAGGGGATATAGGTCAATAATCTTCACTGTATGGTGTGCATCCATCACCATTATAAAAGCAGAAAGACAAGCAGGGATGCTACCAGTGTTGGAGGTCCATTTCTGTCATTCTTTATGGAGAACAAATGTACTGGGTTAGACAGAAGGGTCTGGACCATACTAATCATCGTGTCTCTGAAAAGACCATAGCTGATGGTTAGAGAGAGGTTTTCCTCCTGCAGAATGTTCTCTGCAAGCTTCTGTCAGTCTGCTGCCTTGAAGACAGGTTCAATTGTATTTTGAATGCTGAATAATTCTCATGGTTTTAGCAGAGGTACCCAAAAAGTAAAAATATCATTGCTATGTTTTGTGTCCCATCATCTCTTTTGCATTTTTCTCATTTGTGAGAGTTGGAATGTTTTCCAAGTTATTCTGATGTCTGAAAGCAAAGGTGATAAATTTCAGTGCTCTAAATGCGAGGTAGTGGATGTTGTGGCAGACTGAAAAATGAGGACCTTTGAGACCTGGTAGTTTGCAGCATGAATCGTGGGCAAGTTTTGTACTAGTGCAATGGTAGGATGAGAATAGCTTTTGAACTACTTAGCTGGAAGGAGGTCAGTGCTCTAGAATTCATGCCGTATTATTTGCCCTTCCTGTCCAATAGTTTTTGATGTTGAAGAATAATGTGTCTCAGATATTGCATGCTCAGTTGGCAGCTATGGAATTGCAGCAGAAATGGGAGATGACAAACATCATCTTCATGGAGGTCACAGCACCCGTAATTGTCCAAAAGACAGTTGGTGCATCTTTTTACCTAAAAGCAGTGGTTTTAGATGTACTTTAAAATGAAATAATAAAAGAAGGGAAAAAAAGGACCTCTCAGAAGCCAAATTGAAAAATATTGCACTAAAAAAATAAAAATAGGCCTGAAAACTGCCATCCTAGCTAAAAAGTATAATTTAATTTTTTTTTAATTTGAGATATTCTGTTCTTTTCCTCCTCTCTCCCATTTCACGTACATCCTTAGGGTCTCAACTCTGTTTTGAACTGTTTGCCTGCCCGCACAGGCTTTGCAGGCTTTGCACGTACCCTGAAGACATTTCACTTCTGTCAGCTGCAGTGAGAACCCTTCCTGGAAACATTTGCATTGCTGGAAGGCAAAAGCTGGTTGGAAAAGTGATCGGCACCTGTAGCAGTAGTACTGATGTCGCAGGTGGACATGCTGAAACAATGTTTAAACCAGGCTTACTTCTGTTATTGAGGCTTTGTGGGAACGAAAAAGGTGGAAATACTGGTGTATGACTGAAAATTTGATACAAAGTTTGCTTAGAAGTATTAGCGAGCAAGTTTTTGGCATCTTAGCTGGGAACGAGGCATCTCTCTTATTCCTTGGCAATTCATTCAAGTGGCTGTATAGAAAGTGTGATCACAAACCACGTCGGTGTGACTCTCATTGAACTCGCGTGCAGCTACTTTAGGACTGAGTTTGATGCTATTGCGAGTTACGTGGGTGGTTTTGGTTTTTGTTCTTCTCGAGGATACAAACACAAACCCCACGGGATTGTTGAGAGGATCTCATTGTATAGGATTTTTGTGTTAGATCCTCTTTGGTTAAGTGTTCTGAAGTTGTGCTTTATATATCCTCAAAACGAAGCATTTGCTTATGTTTGAACTTTCTAGCACCTGAGTTCAGGCCCTCAGGTGTCTTATCTCTCCAGCAGCAAGTGTGACATTGGTGCTTTATTTTTGCAGGTTAAATATTCAAGCCTGAGGCGTCTCAGGTTTTGGTAGGTAGGCAGTGATGTTTGCTGTTAGGTTTTTGTTGTTTGGGTTTTTTTTTTAAAGTTATAGAATCTTAAATTTTTCAGTGGAACTTTCACAGATCCTTGATGTCAGCCCCAGTCCTTGCCTCGGTGCACTGCCCACCAGAAGTTGGAAATTCAGTGAAAGATGTACCTTAAAATATTACATTTCTCTTAATGGCTAGGGATGTAAATATTTTTTTTTTGTAATTGGTTTCCTTATATTGCATCTTAAGGTTTAACTATAAAAAATAATTCATTAGGATTACAGTTTCTAAAACCAAGCTAAGAAGTGCTCAGAGCACTTCAGCAAACTTACAGACTGCAAGGTAGGGCCGACACCATGTGTCTGTAATACCGTGCAGTATCCTCAGCCTCATTCTGCTTGGATTCATCAGTACCTGTGGTTTCTTGGAACATTAAATTTGTGGTGTGGATTGGGTAGCCCTTCCTGCACTCCTGGGGAAGTCCTATCTTCAAGGCTTATTACCTGCAGGAGTGCAGCTTCCCGTAGTAGGCACTGCTGCAAGGAAACTCTTTTTACTATTTATGTGGATAGTGCTTAGCATGATGGAAATAATAAAAGAAAAATCTTCCACAACCTGTGGTTGATATTTTGCTGGCAATAAAAGTGGCAAGATAAAAAATAACATTAATATATTTAACTTTTTTGTCAGGTTAAACTTAGTGCTCTGGCTCGGTAGCTTCCAGCCTGTAATTCACGTAGGCTGGGCAGGGGAGGAGCCCATGTTGCACGTCATGAGCTGACTTGGGATAACTAAGAATACTGTTGATGATACAGCTGGGTTGATCTGCTGACTAGTTACCACTGAGAATGGACCTTTCTTCATTCTCCCTTTCCTGCAATGAGCTGTCTCACAAAGTTAAATTGAAAAATAAACTACACTTTAAAAAAATTGAGGGTTTTTCTGGTCTGTCTCCCTGAGCAGTCAGACAGACAGCGCTGTTGCCAGTACAAGGAGAGGACTGGGGTTGTGTACGTGGAGGTGAAGGAGGAGTGAAGCCTCCCTTTGATCGCAGCCAATGGTTACGTTGCCTCAGCCTTAACGTTGGTTAAAAAAACAGCCAAAAGGACAAAAAGTAAGAAGTGAAATCTACTGCTATGTTTTATGACACACAGACATATTAGAGTTTTGTCATTTTGGTTATGGAAAGTATTGTTCTGAACTGGAAGAAAAATAATTAATGTGTCAATCTTTCCTCTTTCAGACAGGAAGTAACAACTTTATATGGCTCATGTCTGACAACATGCACCACCAGTGGCTGCTGCTAGCTGCATGCTTTTGGGTGATATTCATGTTCATGGTTGCTAGCAAGTTTATCACATTGACTTTTAAAGACCCAGATGGTAAGTTCAACTGTAATGTTTGATTTGAAACAGAAAATTGAATAGTGCTTCACACAAATACTCTTTCTATGCAGAGTTGTTTTTGGCATGTTACCTCTTCTTCAGTAGGATTGAGAATAGAACAACTTAATCTCTAGAAGGGACAATGCTGATACTCGGTTTCTGCTTTTCTTGGTAGAAGTCTGCAAATCTAACATCATATCTTTTTCTTTTTTTTTTTTTGAGGGTTAAGAACAGAGGGGATCATGTTTGGCAGTACTGTCTTGTGAGGTCTGCTTTTTAAAATACACTCAGTTTCAGTTTCTTGATCTACTAGGAGTAGAAATCACATGCAAAACAACAGAGCACAATTACCTGTTTAAAGACAAAGGAGATTCATAAGGAATGACAGAATTCATTTCACATAGTACTAGTTTTTGTCCTCTTGCCACTGCTTGTCCTGTGGCTGCAGTATTATGTAAAACTTGTGGAAAGTTTTACTTCATTTGCAATGCACTTGGCCTAGCCACCTCTGCCCTGCTTCTTGCGTTCAGTTTTATCCTCTGCTGTTTGACTGACAAACAGCTTATAGGCTTTTGCTGAGCTTAAGTAGCCCAGAGGGTATTAAGCTGATGAGGAATTTAAGCCATTTGATGACACCACGCAGCATGTTACAGTTTTCTGTCTGCTGAGGAGCTACTGTTACAAAACCATCCTACGGAGAGTTTTGGGTGAAGGTGATGACATGATTTACAGTCCTACAAGATCTGAATTTTTGCATTTTCCTAAGATATGCAAAAAGTGTGTGACTTTTGAAGTGCTGACGTCACTAGTGCTGTTTGTTTCAATGACTTGATAGTGGATAAATGTATTTGGTGTACATTTTTAAATAGCATACCTCTGTGTGGAGATTTATTCAGCAAGTCTTACAGATGAGAGCTGTAGGCTAGCTTTGCTTTCCTTGGTTCCAGCTGTTTTGAGCCCTAGTACATCTGCAAAGAAGCTGGTAGTTAAATTGTCCAATATTTCATTCTATGCCAACACTTGTTTGCCACCTCAGGTATTCTTTGAGTAGTTCTTTTAATCATAATTTGTTGGGAGGATAAAATGTATTTAAAAAATACTAGAGTACACTCTTTGCATTCACTTGCTTTTTATTATCTTGGCTTGCCAAAAATTCTTTTTTTTTCCTTTTTTTTTTTTTTTTTTTTTTTGGTTGTGTATGCTGAATCTTCCTTCCCCTTTGAATAGTTCTCTGAGCAGAAGATTGTATAATTTCTTAAGCTCTCATCCTGCAAAGGCATGACTGTGGTTAAGTGTATGTATGTGTTGGAGATACCAGTGTTTGTACTGGGACTAACAAAGGGAAGTAATTTGAATATACCAACAGAATTTTGGAGAAAGTCCAGAGAGGATGGCCAATCCTGGAGGAACTCTTCTAGATTTAAAAAATTTGTCTTGTCAGAAATTTCCCTTATTTGGATGCATCTACTTAGCAACTAGAACAAAACCAGCAGATGCTCAATGAATCAATGTTCGTTTAAGCCTTTTACTGATGTCTTGGGTCTGTGAACAATAGGAACTTCTTAATGAGAAGGGGCAAGTTTCTGCCCATCATCTCTAGTAGCGTCTGCAGGCATGCTTTTACTCAGTGATAATAACAGATACTTTAAGCTCTCTTTCACTGTGTCAAATTACTTCGATTTTACAAAAGGACACTGTGAAGTGAGTCTGTGCACAGCAATATTTACTGTAGTTGATTGCTTGGATGCTTACATTGTTTTCAGTTTTAGCTTGCTTTTTCATGTGTGCCCTTTGCTAGAATCTAGTGTAGGCAGAATAGGGTACTCCCTTAAGAAAAAGGCGTAAGGCAACACACACGTTTTCTCAACCATAAAACAGGAAGCTACTGTGGATGCAGACGAAGAAAGATTATTCATAGAAGAAACTATATGAAGGGAAAAGTAGTCCAGTGTGGAGGGAAATAAATTTTCAGGGAGAAATCATGTTCTTTTTGCTTTGTGGTTAGGGAAAGCTGCTTCAAATTATTTTTGATCTTTCTGCACTGTGTAAAGTAAAGCTACAGCCTTGTGCTATTTTTCAGTTTTCCTGTACCATACCAATTGCAAAAGATGCAAAAGGTTCTTACCTTACATACTTTAATTTGGTCTCAAACTATTAGCTGCCCTAAAATAACTGAAAAACCAAGAGTACCAGGTGAGTTTGTTCTTTTGTTGTGGCTGTCTCTAAGGAATGCCATCAGTCCAGTAATAAAGGAAGAGGGATCTTGTATTTATTGCTGGTTAGAGATGTTCACTTAGAGCACCAAAGAAATAAAAGGTGGTCATTAATGTTGATTTTCTTCTGGTAATGTCTAAGAGTTTACAGTAGAAGAAACCTATCTCCTAATATGAGGGGAGAGAGAAACCTGATTGATTAAGTGTTTTATTTGGACATGCTTTGGGAAGTTTATTGAAAAACAAAAATCTCATACTGTCAAGTCCATATAGTTATACTCACTTGTCTACCAATCTTGATATTTGGATTTATGATTTGTGTCTCTTTGCAGAGTTTGTTTAAAAAAAGACTAAAATAAAAGATAATGGATTTGTTTCTTTGGTAAAGCTCAGCTGAATTTTCATCCAAAATTCCCATAGAGTACACCCTTTAAAATACTCATAGACTGTCTCAAGTCTTGTCTAGTACCTTCGCATTTGGAAACAAATCCTAATGTTTTGTAAGCTTAATACAGAAAATTATGTTCAGTTGTGTTAGCTGTAAAGCAGAAAAGGTTGCCTTCCCCCCTCCTTCTGTAATGCTCTTATCTCTCTTGCTTCTTTAGGCTACGGTGCCAAGCCAGAGCCATTGACACTGACAGCTGTGACGAAAGTGGACGAGGTACATGTGCGAGAGGAAAAACGTTGGCCTCAAGAATTCCAGGTGCATACTGTCGAGATAAGGTTTACATGTATTAAAGAGCGGGAGAAAACAAGAGATTAAGTAGGGGCTTCCTGTTGTTAAAAGGAATTGCTAGACAGGAATTATTTATTCAGACTGTTCTATTTAGATAGAGCCAACAAAATCATTTTAGCTTCACAAAGCTAGTTTGTTACCATAACCTGCTGTCTTGTTTCATCTGAATGATTCAACTTAATGTGTTTCCATTTCTAGGAGAAAATTGTTACAGTACTCCTTTATCAAGTCAGGACAGTCATTTTTGCTACCCTTTTTAATATAATGGCCCAATTTTGGATTATTTGTATTCTGCCTTGCCATAGCCATCAGGTTCATGGTTCTTGAGAGTGAGCCTATATCTTGTCTATTCTCTTAGTTCTCTGCCTGATCTCTCTGATTCTTTTTATCAGTCTCCATTTCTTTTTCATGTTTTGTACTATTTGTGCTTCACATCTCAGCATTTTTCCAAAGTAGAACATGAACACAATCGTATTCAATACCAGTTGATCCCTTAGATGCATAGTTCTGTGTTTTCGGCATAAAGCAGAAAAAATGTTAACGTGCTAATTTACAAGGAAACTCTGAAAATCCCTTATGCAAATGTAAATTTGAGACTAGCTGCACAGTGGGCTAAGACCATTTTTTTTTCCATTGGTTACATAAGTCGTCTTCTGTTTAAAGTATTTTTGTGATGCAGCATGGAAGACAGGTTTTTGTATAAACATGACACTGGTTTTGTATGTAAAAAACCTGAAATTTAAGTTATCCTCAGAATACTTGGGAGAAACACTTTGTTCAGTGGAAGGCTGGCAGATCTGTGTAGTGAGTTTTAATATCTGCCTTTACTTGTATGGAAGAGGATAATAAGGTTTCTGGATCTAAAACTATTCCCTCTTGACTTCTTGACAGCGTGAAACACAGAACAATAATATTAATCGTGGTTGCATGCAAAAGGAATTGTTTTGACAGATAAGCAATCTGTCAGGCTGTTGAGATTACAGTCTGACCAAGAGATACTGGAGAAGAATAACAAACAGAAAAACAGAATCAGATATTTTTTTTTTTCCTTATGAACGATTAGGACAAAAAGTAAAATCATTCCTTTTTCATGTGTAGCTTGGACACTCTACCTGAAATAGAATCACAGAATGGTTTGGGTTGGAAGGGACATTTGAAGATCATCTAGCTCAAGCCCCCTGCCATGATCGGGGACATCTTTGACTAGATCAGGTTGCTTGAAGCCCCCTCCAGCCTGACCTTGAACACTCCAGGCAGGGGGCATCCACAACTTTTCTGGGCAACCTGTGCCAGTGTTTCACCACTCTCATTGTAAAAAAAATTCTTCCTTATATCTAGTCTAAACCTACCCTAATTTAGTTTAAAACCATTACCCCTTGTCCTATTGCTACAGGCCCTGCTAAAAAGTTTGTCCCCATCTTTCTTACAGGCCCCCATTAAGTATTGAAAGGCCACAGTAAGGTCTCCCTGGAGCCTTTTCTTCTCCAAGCTGAACAACCTCAACTCTCTTAGCTTTTCCTCATAGGAGAGGTGTTCCATCCCTCTGATAATTTTTGTGGCCCTCCTCTGGACCCATAACAACCAGGTCCGTGTCTTTCCTGTGTTGAGGACCCCAGAGCTAGATGAAATATTTCAGGTAGGGTCTCACTAGAGTGGAGCAGAGGGGAGAATCACCTCCCTTGATCTGCTGGCCATATTTGTTTGGGTTTTTTTAATGCAACCCAGGATACGATTGCCTTTCTGGGCTGTGAGCACACATTGCTGGCACATATCCAATTTTTCATTCATGAGTATCCCCAAGTCCTTGTCTGCAGGGATGCTCTCAATCAGTGTGTCCCCTAGTCTGTATTGATATTGGGGATTGCCAACTGTGTAAATGTATTAGTGTAAGATTTTTCAGTAGAAATTTAAAACTTCCCATCACCTGTTAATCAGACAAGCTCCTTTTTCCTCTCTCCTCATTAATTGTGAGGCAGAGGTGGTCATGGTTCCTGTCTTAGTCTCAAAAAAATGAGACATATCAAACAGTTCATCCATTTTTGGGGAACAGAATTCTGCCTACATTTCTCATTTGCCACAGTAAGTGCTGATGCTCATTGTGTGAATTTTTGACCGTTTGGTTTTGTTGCAGCTTGAATAAATGGAAACACAGAATACCTACAGGTGCTAGAAAACAACACAGAACTTTTATTTTAAATTCTTCTCTCCCAGGCAGATGGATCAGCATTCCTAAACCCCATCTTGGAGGTTAAAGTTTAATTTCTGTTGAAATTTCTGTCAGAAGTCCCCTCAGAAGCTTTCTTACTTGCTGTTGAAGCTTTGTGGGACAATATTTGGTCAAGGCATGTTGTGTCCACACAGATTAAGACCCTGCTGCTCTGCAGCAGACTTAAATTGTTTTGTAGAAAAGCTCTTGCTGCTGTCTACTGTTACTAGATAATGATTTAAGAGTCGAACCAACGTGTACAGCAGCAGCACAGGAAGAAAACTGTGTGCTGTTCCTTTAGCTGATACATAGCAATGTTTTAATCGTGAATCTGGGAGTCATTAGCATGCCCAGTTTGGCAATTTTTATACTTTAGAATTTGATCTGAAAACTAAATTCTTGCACTCTTTTTTTGTTTTCTTTCTTTCTCTTTCCCCTCTCCATTTCATGAAGCCAACTGGAAAAGCTTTTTCTGGAAATCTGATCCGCCAACCCCTGGTTCATATGGAAAGACTTGAGCTTCTCAGGAATGTCTGCAGAGACACTGCATTGAGAAATCTCTCTCACACTGCAGTTTCCAAATTCGTCTTGGACCGAATATTTGTGTGTGACAAGCACAAGATCCTGTTTTGTCAGACGCCAAAAGTGGGCAACACTCAGTGGAAAAAAGTCTTGATCGTTTTAAATGGTATCTACTCTGCTGTGGGTGTGTGGGTTTCTTTGAGGAGGAGGAGGAAAGAGCGGAATTGGTGCAACTGAGACAACACAAAAATGGATTCTTTCTGCTTTTCTGTACATTTATACTTCATTTCAGCCTTTCATTCTTCACAGTTGTTTCTAGTCCTTTCAAAACATCTTTTTTAAAGAAAATAAAGCTGTTCTTTCTGTGAAAATAAAACATTGTTATTGCTTGGCTCAAAAGTGATTTGAGTCAGGAAAGAGTACCCATATGCACGTGGTAGGTAAATGTGTTATCTTTGAAAGAGTGGCACTAATTTATAAAACTTGAAACAATTAAATTACAGGATATCTCAATTCCCTAACAAACAGTCATGTAAAATTTCTGACTTGAAGCCCACTGACTTTTAACTAGAGTTTTTTAGCCATGAAGAAAGCTAGTTAAAACTTGGCAACTGCTGTTGGTCTCTAGTGCTGAAAGCTTGTGTATGTGCTATCACTGAGCCATCATAGGTGTTATGAAGATTCTGAAGTGCTTAAGGCAGTAGTTTGGTCAACAAAGGTATGTTATAAAAGTCTGTAAAAGAAGGAGTAAAGGGACTAGTGTGTTTGAATAATGATCTACAAGGTGAACACCGCCTGTGTACATGTAGCCTACCATCCTCTTCTAGTAGCTTGGTATGCCAATAAAAATAACACATTTCCTCAGGTTTTCTACTGTACCACTACCTGCACACATAAACTTAACTTTATCGTATTTAACACAGCACACCTTTGTTTGACATGAGACCCTCTTGATTGTCTGTGCACCAGAGCTGTGTATTTGCTACATATAGTCAGGTCAGTTGAGGTCCTTCTGTGGTTTTGCAGGTGGCATTGATCAAGATGTGGGTGAAACCTGAACATCGTAAACCCAGATTTCTTATTACAAGCACCCTCTGAACAGGCAGCTCTGCACTTGTGTTTTTATGTTTTCTGTAACTTGTGTGAGCCAGTTTGCACACCCAGAAGGAAGGTCACAGCAGAAGGAAACAGTCACAAATTGAAGGTTCAGGATGGAGAAACATGGCTGTGGCACTGTTGGGGAGCTAACTCTGCTACTGCTTGTTCTGAGTCTCTGCTCTGGATGAATGCATGGTTTCCATTTCTGAGGCTGTCTAATCTGACATCTGTTGTCCACATGTAATTCACCCAGAGTACCAAAATATATAATTAGAAAACTGAAATTAATAAAACACACCACCAACAAAAAAGAAAAAAAAAAAGAAAACTGGGGAGCTGAGTGGTGCAGATTATTCACTGCAGTTCTGGAACAGAGAAGGCTGTAGAGGCTTTCACCTAAAGAGGTTGTTTTGTATGCCCTTGTTCTTTTTGCAGGTTGGTACTCTGAAATGATGCTGTTGTGTGAAGGCTTACTCTTAAAGCCCAAGTGGCCCACATGAAATATTTCTCAAGGCCATAAAAACTTCCAGGATCAGGATCTTAAAATAAATGCATCAGAATTCGGTGACATTCTTTTTCTTGCCAGCTTATTTGCCTGCAGAAACAAGTATTTGGAGGCTTTCTGTTGTTAATTTTAGTGCTTTTTAATCTATGCAGTATTGTATGATTGGAATTTTTGTTTCAGCACAGCATAGTCATTAAAAGAATTTAATGGTTCCTGACAGCAAAGTGCTTTTGTGTTGAAGCAGTTCCAAAAGCAGCCCACAGCATTTATTTTTTGTTGGTGGTAGAAACTCAGCCAAAAAGCTGGTTACTTCCTTGGAGTTATTCCTCAGT